TCACTATTGGCCAAAGAACGCCAGAGGAGACGGGCACAGAACCTATGTCTTTATTGTGGAGAAGCTGGTCATCTGGTGCGCTCCTGTCCTGCAAAAATTAGTAAGTCCGCTTCCAGTTTTTTTTTCTTTATCAGCAGAGAGGGTTAATCAGTCTAGTTACCTGGCTATACCGGTCTCTTTACAGCTCCCCGGAAGAACTGTGTCGGTGACAGCAATCATTGATTCGGGAGCCTGTAGTTGCTTCCCCTATTTACACCACAGTAGCTGACCATCACCGAGAATTTCTCCGTCTCCAATCATCCTGGGGCTCCCTTGGTTGAGGGCCATAACCCCCGGATTGATTGGGAGAAGGGAATAGTTCAGTTTCGGTCCCCATACTGTCAGAAACATTGCCATGTTTTCAGGGCCTGTGGCCCCCAACTTCTATGTATGGATGGAGATACAGACCTGACTCAGACTATTCCCCCGGCCTACCACGACTTCCTGGACGTGTTTAGCAAACGAGGGGCAGACATTCTCCCACCACACCGATCTTATGACTGTCCTAAAGACCTCCTACCCGGGTCCGAAATTTCGTTTGGCCGTATTTTTCCATTGTCTGAACTTGAGTCAGGAGTATTAAGGGAATATATTGATGAAAATCTCCAGAAGGGGTTTATTCGCCCTTCCACGTCCCCAGCCGGGGCCGGGTTATTCTTTATAGAAAAGAAAGAAAAGTTGTTGCGGCCCTGCATTGATTACCGTGATCTGAATAGGATCACGATAAAGGATCGCTATCCGTTACCCCTGGTTCCTGAACTCCTCCAGAGATTAAAATCCATGGGGGTTTTTACTAAGTTAGATTTGCGGGGGTCTACAATCTGGTTCGTATCAGGGAAGGTGACGAATGGAAAACGTCTTTTCGTACGTGATTTGGTCACTTTGAATATTTGGTTATGCCTTTCAGGCTCTGCAACGCCCCGGCCACCTTCCAGCATTTTATTAATGATGTCTTTCGTGATTTCCTTGATGTTTTCGTGGTCGTCTATTTGGACGACATCTTAATTTTCTCCTCCTCACTCGAGGTTCATCGGGATCATGTGGTGAGGGTGTTGGAACGCTTACACCAACATGGGCTGTATGCGAAGGCTGACAAATGCTGTTTCGAACAGCATAGTATCACATTCCTGGGACTGGTCATCTCTCCCGCGGGGGTCGCAATGGACCCTCAGAAAGTCACGGCAATTTTAGATTGGCCGATACCCGCAGATAAGAAGGGCGTACAGCGTTTTATCGGGTTTTCGAACTTCTACAGAAAATTTATCAGAAACTTCTCTGGTCTGGTCTCCCCAATCACGCAATTGACTAAACAGGGGACCCGCTTTAAGTGGACTCCTTATGCACAAGCTGCCTTTGAGACTCTCAAAAGACTATTCACCTCCGCTCCTATTCTCAGCCACCCTGATTCATCTCTACCATATGTCTTGGAAGTGGATGCCTCCGAAAATGCGGTAGGAGCGGTTCTGTCCCAAAGGAAAGGTACCAAGGAGCTCCTGCATCCTGTAGCGTTCTTTTCTAGGAAACTGACACCTGCAGAATGAAATTACGACATTGGAGATCGGGAGCTCCTGGCTATAAAGACTGCTCTAGGGAAATGCTTTTCAGACAAGTCCAATCTTTCTGCACATCAGAGATTGCACACAGGGGAGAAGAAGCCATTTTCCTGTCCTGAGTGCGGGAAATGTTTTTCACATAAGTCACATTTTTATACACATCAGAGATCTCACACAGGGGAGAAGCCATTTTCCTGTCCTATGTGTGGGAAATGTTTTTCACACAAGTCACATTTTTATACACATCAGAGATCTCACACAGGGGAGAAACCTTTTTCCTGTCTTGAGTGCGGGAAATGTTTTACACAGAAGTCTATGCTTTACACACATCAAAGATCTCACACGGGGGAGAAGCCTTATTTCTGTCTTGAGTGCGGGAAATGTTTTTCACAAAAGTTCAATCTTTACACACATCAGAGATGTCACACGGGGGAGATGCCATATTCCTGTCCTGAGTGCGGGAAATGTTTTTCATGGAAGTCCAGTCTTTACAAACATCAGAGATCTCACACAGGAGAGAAGCCACTTTCCTGTCCTGAGTGAGGGAAATGTTCCTCACTGAAGTCCTGTCTTCCTGTACATCAGGGGTCCCGCAAAACTCTCGAGGTATATTAGTGTCTTGAGTGTGGGAAAAGTCTTCTATATGAATGTTGCTGGGACATCCCAGCTCTCATGTGGGGAAGAAGCACACCCTGATATACATTCAGGCAAGGAATCGAGAGGTAATGTACCACGACTGATTCCAGGGCTAGAATGGGACCAAAGGTTAGGTAAGAATGGGAGGGATGGGGTGGATTGGGGGGGAAAGAGGAGGGGGGAGGGGATCTGAGGAGAGGGGGGAAGGGTATAGAGAGAAAATCTTCTTGCTTCAGATGGTTTGTACCCACATTTCCCCAAATGGAATACCCAGGAAGAACAAAATAGTAGAAGTAATGAATATGGTTACTTATTGTACTAGTATTTAGGCTCAGTTGGGGTGTTTTAGAGCCCCCCCTTGGATGATCAACTCTTCATTGCTGTTAGAGGCTTCTGACCAATCAGATTTCTAGCTTTACTATTTCCTTGTTTTTATGACTACAGTCTTGTTAAAAGTAAAAATATAATAAACAGTAACAAAAAAAAAATTGTGTGTCGCTGCAATGATGAAAATCTTTGGTATCCAAAAATGACTCATAGATGACTTCGAAAGCCTTTACAGGTCATCAGTTTACATGAATAATGGCCCAGAGTGCATCAGGGGTCAGGAGTCTATTATATACAGAGTGCACAGGAGTCTATTATATACAGTACAGAGTGCAGGGGTCAGGAGTCTATTATATACAGTACAGAGTGCAGGGGTCAGGAGTCTATTATATACAGTACAGAGTGCAGGGGTCAGGAGTCTATTATATACAGTACAGAGTGCAGGGGTCAGGAGTCTATTATATACAGAGTGCAGGGGTCAGAGTGCAGGGGTCAGGAGTCTATTATATACAGTACAGAGTGCAGGGGTCAGGAGTCTATTATATACAGTATTGTGGTCAACCAATACAGTTGTGAACAAGTGGTGCACAGCACCCCCTCATCTCTGCCTTCCCCATCTCAGCATTCAATACAGACTCTGGTAACTGAACTCCACTCCTCCTCTGGTCCTCCTCCAGACCCTGCACTCACTGCTTTCCAGTTCTGCCTCCAAAGGGGGTGGTGCACAGTGATGTTAGGGAGGGTGTGGGATTCTTGGCAGGAGTATATGATTGACATGTCAGAGTACAGAATGTAGTTGTCAGGAGTATTTCATATACAGTACAGAGTGCAGTGGTCAGGAGTATTTCATATACAGTACAGCAGCAGTGGTCAGGAGTATTTCATATACAGTACAGAGTGCAGTGGTCAGGAGACTATTTCATATACAGTAGCCCTGCAGGAGTATTTCATATACAGTACAGCAGTGCAGTGGTCAGGAGTATATGATTGACATCTCAGAGTACAGAATGTACAGTGGTCAGGGTCAGGAGTATTTCATATACAGTACAGTACAGTAGTGGTCAGGAGACTATTTCATATACAGTACAGACAGTGCAGTGGTCAGGAGTATTTTCATATACAGTACAGAGTGCAGTGGTCAGGAGTATTTCATATACAGTACAGAGTGCAGTGGTCAGGAGTATTTCATATACAGTACAGAGTGCAGTGGTCAGGAGTATTTCATATACAGTACAGAGTGCAGTGGTCAGGAGTATTTTCATATACAGTTACAGAGTGCAGTGGTCAGGAGTATTTCATTTCATATACAGTACAGAGTGCAGTGGTCAGGAGTATTTCATATACAGTACAGAGTGCAGTGGTCAGGAGTATTTCATATACAGTACAGAGTGCAGTGGTCAGGAGTATTTCATATACAGTACAGATGCAGTGGTCAGGAGTATTTCATATACAGTACAGAGTGCAGTGGTCAGGAGTATTTCATATACAGTACAGAGTGCAGTGGTCAGGAGTATATGATATACAGCCCTCATACAGCGTGAAGTGGTCAGAAGTAGTATGTCATATGCAGCTCATGGTACAATGTACATGGGGAAGATCAGGTCTTTTACAGCCCAGCATTTAGATTTCAGTGGTCATTGGTCAGGAGGATGTCATATACGGCTCAGCAAAAAGGGTTCAGTGGCCAGGAACATTGTAACATAAATGTGGGAGTCGGGGGTAGTTCTGCCAGTAGCTGAGATGTGATCTGTAGAAGGATGTGATTGTAGATCTAGTTTCATTCCGTGTTATTAGAGATTCAGTAGTCAGTCAGAGAGACATATGTTCTTCAATTAGCATGTGAAAGGACAGAGCAGCTTCTAGGCCAGGAGTGACACCGAGATGCCAATACAACTTTCACATCGGGGTGGACATGGATTTCTCACCTTCTTGAATTCTAAAAAAGAAGAGCTCTAGCCATAGCCAACCAGCAGGAGACCAGGAGTGGCTCTGAAAGGTCTGCCAGCTTTGATTTATATCCACAGATCAGAGGAATCTATTTCCTCTCTCATAAAAGCTAAAATATTAGTTGCAGAGAGATGGAAATACTTCCTTCTGATTGGACACATTTTTAGGCTCCATGTCCATGTAAAAATGTATTTGTAGCCTCTGTAGAATCCCGGAGAAACACACAAAACAAATATATGGCACCTGATTGCGACAGTTGAACAATGATTGGTACTGTCATGATCGGACTGATACGCTGGTGTTGGGAACTCTATCCTTGACTCAGCCACTGGAACTGTCCCTGGCCCACTCAGCTATGGACACTTCAGAACACAGAATGTCCTGTGGGCTGGTACAAGGACACCCCCCAGGGCTGATTGGCCAAGGGATAAAATCCCACCCACATCCATATTTCAATAAATTGAGGTCCCTGAGATATGGACGGTGTGATTTGTACGGAGTCGGTTCCATATGACTGGCGAATCGCGGACTTTCTCTGACTTGCTGCTCCAGTCGCAGGATAAATCTTGGTAAAAGTTGTATTTCTGTTTTTATCTCCTTTTTATCTCATAGTGAATAGCCAATTGTGTGTCTTTTTGTATTTTCTGTAACTCTTTTTTTCTTTGTACATATTTTATGCACTGCCCACTTTTAGGATATTAAATCATAAATTGAACAAGTGACTTCTGTGTACTAAGCTCGGGCTCATATCTCCGGAGAGATTGTTGTATTGTAGTGTCTATGTGCTCGGTTAAAGCTGACCATACACGTGTAGATTTTTGGACGAGAATATTCTTAAGAAAAGTGATACGAATATTCTTTGAACATTCAATGAATGGACAAATGTCGTTCAAAAATTGTCTTTCACTTTTAACATTCAATTTTAAAATGAATGTAATTTCTGAACGATAACCACAGGGCTCATACTCCGAGAGAGATTGTTGTATTGTAGTGTCTATGTGCTCAGTCTAAGTTCATTGCCAATCTATATGCAATTGTACTGCGTGTTGACAGATTGCATGAAGATTGTAAAGTAGCAGATCTGCCAGACGGAGATCTGTAGGTGTGTGTGTGTTGTGGCCCAGCAGACCAGTCTGGGACAAAACTGTTGGGCAAGCTACCGTGTGTGGTGTGTGTGTCTGGTGGGGGGTGGGGGTGTGTGGACAGTGGAAGAGTGATTAACACCGGGGTTCTAGCTTGTAGGATAGCTGGAGGAATCCTAGAAGGATGTGCTAATTGGTAGACTCTCCTCAACCCTTAGAGTGCACCAGATTGTATATAGGATTTGTATCTGCCTGTGAGTGGTCAGCCAGCTAGATTGGAGTGAAGTCCCCCTCTAGTGGTGGCCAGAGGTAGTGCAGGCTGTGAAAGTGTATCACGGCCAGTCTTATATGTTCATAGTAAGTTCCCCTCATTCCCGGACAGACCACGCCTCGGTTAGCTAGTCGCCGTGGGTGTGCGGTTTTTTATCCGTGACAGTGTGCTAAATGGGTTGGGACATAGACCACCTGGAAATGCATTTAATGCCTGAATCAAGAGTAAGCATGTTGATAGAGCACGAGCCTATCCTGATCCAAATCTGAATCCAGTCTTGTCTCTAGTGTCTCTAAGGTCATGTTCCCCCTTATGGACATAAATGTGACCTCTAGGACTTTTAAGGTCGTTCAGTTGGGAAATAGATAATTGAGATAAGTTTGGAGGAAAGAGGATTGCGGTAGCAGATATATGTTTCAAACAAGGAAAGATCTTTGTTGGTAATTATGGTGGTCAACCAGTGTTTAATTTGTAGGAAACAAAAAAGTTGAGTGGGTGAGGTGTTGGTATTTTTCCTAAATTTCTGTGAAATGTGATGAGACTCTAAACCCTGAGGAAATATTGGATTGCCCAAAACAGGAAGGAGAGGCAAGTGAGGTGATATGAAGTTGCTGGAATATTTATTAGAGTTCCAGGTGCAGAGTGTGTGACCCATCAAGAGGCTGATAGACGTAGGTCTGGATTTTGGAGGAAGCCATGGGAGTGAATGGTGAGAAGTTTGAGAACAGAGCAATGCTTCTAAGTCAACCCCATAAGGGCCATGTATTGTGGTGTAAAGGGGGGTTAGTGGGGTAATCTGGGCACCAAGAAATATTTATTACACAAACTGGAACCTCCAAGCCCAAACCTTGTTTCTTATGTATAAACATAGTATGGCTTGAGATTTGTGGCCCTTTGCCCATTTGAATCGCAAGACCTGATTTTAAAAAGATTTGAGAGTATGCTGTAATATTTGAAAATGGCTGGATTGTCTACTTATTTCAATAAAAAGTTTGTAGATTTGAGAGTATAGGAGGGGATTGGATATGAGATAAGTGTAGCACCCTCCTAGTCAGCTTAGGGGAGCTCTAGCTCTAATTGTTAGATAGAGGGGTGAGTAGCATCCTGGGTGTGATAGCCAGGTGGGTCAAATTTGAGTCAGGGCTGAAAGGCTCTGCAGATCAGCCTTCTGGAACTTCCTCCTGCCCTAAAACTTTGGAGAAAGATCTGGAAGCAGTGGGTGGAGGTGAGGAGTGGCTGGTCTGTACTCTTAGAGGATCCTGGCAAATCCCCAACAGGAGGCTTGGCAAGGGGCCAGGACATACTCTAAGAGTAACCGAGCCTGCTCACCAGTGGCAGAGTTCAGGTGAAAGAGGAGGATATA